AAAGATCATACATTTAGACCAATCAAAACCTTTCAAATAAGACATTTGACAAAATTGCCTATCTCAATTGTTTGTAAAGTTTGCTTCCAGAATGTTGTATGTAAACTGGAAAATTGTTGTATAATGGCTTTGGGAATCAAAAACTTTTACATTTCTTTATTTTTGTGAAAATAAGGTTAGTTTTTTGGTTATCAAGAAATATCTAAGTTTTTTTCACAGACAATTACAAAAATGTCCAAGTTTTAGAGATCTTACTGTTTGTTCATACTAAGTTACTATGCATGGATGCAAGATAAGGGTAAGACTATGTTTTAGAAACGCTGTTAAAAAAAAGTCTGGCGTTCAACTTAAAGAAATATTGAACTAAAAACAGCAGATATGACAGAGCTCGAGGAATGCACAAATCAATAAATACCATAGATTTAGTCGCTATCTGATGTAATTCAAATACTATACTGAAAAAGAGGGGATAACAATACCAAAGGGATATTCAAACTCATAAATCAAAACCAAACTGACAATGCCATGGCAAAAAACTGCACATACATTCAGAAAATAAGAAAAAGATATGTATAAAGACACAGATAAAAGAAGAGAAAACTTTTTGAAAATCCATTTCAGCCTTATGTCAAATATTTTCATGAATAATATTTGAATCAATCATCAATATACACAATGCTATACTATGCTTTTGATATAATATGAATAACTACATATTAAAGAATGTTCCATTGTTATTCATTTTTTCCATCATGTACACCGTTATAGTTAGCTCAGATTTACATACATTAGTTTGGTAAAAAGAATGCTAACAAGTTTCCAGTCACATAAGAGGCTTACTGATATCTGTTAATCAGTATGATTTTTTAATTGTAAAGTGCTAATCAAAGCTATTAATTTAAAAGCCAGTAAACATGACTCGGCTAAGACATTTTAAACAATTGCATTTGTTTTATAATTTGAAAAACGGTATTTTTTATACAAGTAAGCAAACCAAAACTGTTCTTTGACACTGTATTTCTGTTGTGAAACGGATATTCAATAACGGTCAACCATCTCGTGATGGCGTTCGTAAAATTTACGAAGGGATGATTTTAACTTCACCATTTTGAACTCTTGGTTTAAAAGCTTCCTTATGAGCAGCAACCCTCTATCAAGGAAATCATGATAGAAAATACAAGCCCGAGAATATCGTATCAATTGGGAGATATTTACTCCGTATGCAGACGCTGCTGGAATGTTGCTACATAAAAAATGGAAAGTTCACAATTGGGAAGCTGAAATCATCTCTTTTGTCGTAAAGTTTTGTTTTCAACCGACCCTCATGGTCAATATCTAGATGTAAGTCAAGATATGAGACAGACTTAACTGTATCTGTTGTATCCTTCATCTCTAGGTCGATGGGATAGATGCGTTCCTCATAGTCGCAAAATTTTGAATTATTTAGTGAGAAAACATCATCTATATAGCGGAAAGTTAAGTTAAAGGATACTGCTAACTTCTTTTCTTTCTTCCTAAGAAGTTCCTGTATGAAGTCAGCCTCATAGGAATAAAAGAACAAGTCGGCAAGAAGACGATCACAGTTGGTTCCCATGGGAATGCTGATAGTTTGTTGAAAAACATGTCCTCCAAACGTAACAAATATGTTGTCATTTAAGAAATCAAGAATCTTGATAATGTCAGTTTCAAAGAATTTTTTGTTTGAATCAGAGTGATTTTTTACAAAGTAGGATTTATCCCTCCCTAAGACAAGATACTTGTATCTACGTTGGTCATTCTTTTTTATGAAACAAAGCAACACCAACTCTTTCAATTTGTCTTTTAGTTTGGAATGGGGAATACTTGTGTAAAGTGTAGAAAAGTCAAATGCTTTAAAACCATTGCAAGATGAAAGAGTCTTAGATTGTATGTACTCTAAAAGATCTTTGGAATTTTTTAGTATCCACATCTGATTCACGCCACCTCTAGAATAGGCAGTTTCACAATGACTTTAAAGCCAGGCTTTGATTACTGATAAAGTTGATGTTAATAATTTAGAAAGAGGTTTCGTGGAGCACTTGGAAGACCCAGCAGTATACCGTTTTTTGTAAGGACACTTATGTAGTTTAGGTATCCAATACAGTATTGGAAGATCCAGTTTTTCATCTTTGGTTGAAATTCCAAAGGAACTTAGAACAGACCTATGATTATCCAGGATTTCCTCCTTAGTAAGTGTCGTAGGGCTATATATTGAGTTTCCAAGTGAATTGTAAATACCTAATTCATTTATCAAGCAGTTTATGTAATGTGATTTACACACAAAAACGATGTTGTTTGGGGCTTTATCTGCGGGAACAACAACATATTTGTTATTGAGATAGGACAAGTGCTTTGCAACATTCCAACTGCTGCGCATTTTTATCTTATGGACATGTTATTACTGTAGTTTTCAATTATATATAAAAAAATAATCTTTTAAAACCGAAAATACATCTAAAATTTAGGTTTTCACTTCAGAGATGGAACTTGCTTCGGTCATTGTAATCAAATAATTAATTTGATAGTATAGTTCATTTATTATGTATCCCAATTCTGTTTTTTTTCCTTTTTTATTTAAAAAATTGGTATTTTGGTTTATAGAATTACAATTATTAGTATATTGCATCTAATAACATGTAAAGCAAAACATATCGAGGTGATAAAAACATAGAAACATATGAAATACCAAGGTGACATCGTAGAAAGAACAAATTTAATATAAGAAAATTAGAAAAGTAAAAAAAGTGCACATAATAAACGCTTATTTAAAGTGGTAAAAGTTATTTCGTTCAATAATCGATCCAATTCGGTGTGATAATGATACACTTTAGAAAAATATGCTTCTATCATTCCGTAAGAAGCCGTATGAAGTAACAGTATATGGAGACAATATATTTTATATTTTCTTATTCATTGTGCATGCCTTTAAGCACTGAAACTTAAATTAAACATGAATTTGGTGTACCATTTTATTTCCAAATATCATTGATCAGTGTTTACTCTAAATGATTGATCAATGTGGATTTATCACGAATGAAAAAAGTAGAGCGGAACATATTGATGGATGTGTCATAATTTGTACATAGGACCAAAGTTTATTCTATCTTAAAATCACACTTGGTCCCAGAATCGTTGTTTATGACTGCCGAAAAAATTAAATGGTTACAGGTCCGCCACTGACGAAAACTGGGGATTAATTTTACCTTTTTGAACCAGATTCGCACAGAAGATTACTTTTACCTTGACCTAGCCAGAGTCAAAAGTTTAATTTTGGCCTAGTAAGCGAATGGTCCCAGCAGTACTGAATTAACCACAGTGGATAAGTTTGAAAATTGAACGAAAGACTGAAAATGGCTTAAAAAATTTATTGTTCAAAACTTTCAGATGATGTTCAGATCAAAATGACAATTTCAGACTAAAATTCATTTGCCAGTGTAAAAATTATCTTTGAAAGTAGTAAAATTTTTAGTCCAAAGTTATCTTTTGCACAGCTTAAGACAGCACACATCTGCAATTCATTATTCTCATTGAAGGATGCATAAATAAAATTAAAGAATACAGTATGTATGACTGGTGAGATGTGTGATATACTTAACTACAACAGCAACCTAACCACAAAATAACCAAAATACATCACAAGATCAACAATAGATAATCGCTCGTACAATATGACAAGCTCTAAATCGTCCGATAGTTGTATACAAATTGTCAGGAAATATCATCGATATAAATTCGACACCATATTAAAAAAAGAAAAACCTATGATGGTCTGATACAAGGCAACCAAGGCTGAAGTTTCAGACTTGAAGAAGACTCATGAATATGTGATGAGTCAAGCTAGTTTTTGTTTTATAAAACAAGCTTCTGTTAAATACAACATCTACATAAGAGAACAAACCATAAAAAAAGTACAGAAAAAGTACTTTACCTTAGAAAAATGGTGTTGATTAAGCAAAAGATTTCTGATGTAATCATGCATAAACATAACATTTTCATTCACAGTATATATCAAATAATCAAATTAAACTGAATAGATGCATATTTGTAGCTGTCTCTTTAATTGGCAAAGCAGATTTATTACAGCTTAGTAGAAGATTCTATACGCACAACTGGTAGTGCCGCAACTAAATGTACTAGGATATCGTACTCAGTATGTTTGGGGATTTTTTTTCGATCAACCGTTTGTATAGCGATAGAAAGGCACATGGTCCACTGTGACATATGTATTGTCACCATGTTCGTTAAATTGCTTAATCTTTTACGTATTTAAAATTAAGAACTCTCTAGATACTTCTGACACAGCGGCTTATAACCAAAAAATATTAAGCTTGAAGGACGGTTTTAAACGATCTGACCATGTCCGACAGACAGACTACAATTACACATTTGATTTCTCTAAGAGATTTATTTAATGGTAAGGGGAATTGCTGTTTATATAAGTATACACCAAATAATCGTGTTCATGCAATAACCCTTTTAATTTTTTCAGGTGAAAATCAAAAGCAATATATGAATCGAAATTATATATCAACTAAAAAACTTGTTGGGAAGCTTTTCAAAAATGAAGTATTGTTGTCCTTTGAATAACCATATACATATTGCATGTACATATGTGAAATTTTCAAATATTTTAGATTTTAAACACAACAACGTTTCTTATTTATAAATTGGCAGAATATGTTATTTCCTCGAATTATTCTAGGTGAATGTATTTCATCTTGTTCTGCATTGTATAAAAAGACACAAAAACGTCTGTCTGCATGAAATGAAATTAGTAGTAACTTCCTTGACTGGAATAGGTTAATTTAGCAGTAATTTATTTCTCTACCAGTTCACTATAATAGACCCCAGGTTTCAACTGGTCTTTTATGTTATTCAATCTTTAGATTGTTATGGTTAAACAACTGTTGATCGTCTTTTCAGGTCATATGTTCTCAGTCATTTCAACCTATTCTACTTGCTTTGTTTATTGTTTGGCTTACCCATTTGTGGTGCTGTCATCCATTCTGGGTCGTGGTACATATATCCAAATTCCACGAGAATTACGAGGTTAAACAGTAGGATCCCCATAGGCAATTGATTTTTTTTATTGACCTGCAAAAAAATATAAGACACAAAATAGAAATGCTGGAACAAAGATCATTTTAGTTTAACATTTTTAAGAAAATCAGGAAGATATATAATATATATAGAGTGTTTCATTGGAAATCATAACCCTTTTTTATCTAAAGTTCTACGTTTGATTGCTCAATTTAACAGATTTATACAATAATTTTAAATTAAATTTTTAGCATTTTCTACTTTACAAATATATATTGAAAAAAGTGTGGTCGAACTTTGATACAAATGAAATTGTGCAATGTGTAAAAACAAAAACTCACGTGTACTTAAAAATACATTCAATATTTGCCAAAACTTATCGCATGATGCATATAAATCATTATGTTAAAACTGTATTTGTTGATTTTAATAGAGTACCAAACCTTTTGTTATTGAAATGATTAATCCAGTGCAACATGTTCTGTTGCTGCTTTCGGTGATATAGAGGAAACAACAGACAATTTCTCATAGCTTTTCATCTTCTTATCGACAGCAACAAAGATTTTATTGGCGGGTCTAAATCAAAGTTTAGTTTTAGTGTTAACAATATTTGTTCTTGAAAAAGTACACCAATATAATAGTACAATTTTTCAAAGTAGTCAAATATTGTAGAGATGTTACAAACAGCGAGTGTCAATATGAAATAGTATTTCCATTGCAAAGTCATAGATATTTCAGTTTCTGACTTCAACTTAACATATTCTTTTGATTTGTTTCCACAGATTATTAGTCAATGAAAAGGAAAATATTGCATTATAGATGTTAGTGTTTTCGAAGCGTTAATGACATAGATAAAGAATTATTTATTCCTAGTAGACTGAATATAAGAGAAGTTGTTAAAAACCATATGTCTTATACTTTTTAGTTTAAATTTCATCAAAAGAAATATTTGAACTAAATAAACGAAAAGTACAAATATTCAAAATTTGAAAAAGCAGATGTAAATGAATGTTTTCCTTTATCATGGTATACGGAATTAAAAAAAATTATCAGAAATGGACCATTTAGTGTAAAATTACATAATGTCTGTCATGTTTTCCCCAATTATAGAAACAGATGCAAACTTATTGACCCTAATCAAAATAGATTTCGAAAACGTTATCCAAAATCAGTAATATTTCGAACATTTTCCAAAAAGGAGATGTGGTATAATTGCCATTGAGACAACTATGATAAAACAACTAAAAGGTCTGATTTATGATGATTTAAAAAAACCAAACACATAAGACACACAGCAACCAACGACAACATGTTTGCGAGCACTTAACCCTTCTCTAACCTAAGGCATTGGTGAATTATTTAAAAGAAAAAAAATAGTTTCATAAGTTTGACCATAACCTCTTATCAATTCATTACAATACAAGAACAAGTCTGCAAAACAGGCGTAGGTGGTATTCATTAAATACATACACCCTGTCGATTAAATTAAAAGCCAAAACAGTGGGAGCTGAATTATCCAAATCTAGAAACAAGATCATTTTTGCTGCTTATATTAGATTGATCTTAGGTGTAAGTTTTCTCGGGTAAATTCATCTGTGTAAATAGAAAATTTACACACGAATCTTATAAAAATGGATTTGCATTCTTCAGGAACGTTTAATACCATAGATTTGAAAACCAGGGATGAATAAGTGCCCAAACATGTAAAGAGGTATACTGACAAAATTGACCAAAAATATACCAAATACGCCTAAGGTCAACTTTGCTTCAAGGAGTTGGAAACTTAGTTTCATAATAATTTATAAATTCATAAACGGAGAATTGAAGAAAAGTACATGTATGTTATGAATCATGTCAGTACCGAAACACTGCCTACACACACACACACACACCCACATATATATTTTATATATAAAACATTGATTGTTATTTCACTTTCCTGAGTATTTAAACCAAAACAAATCAATACAGTAATAATTAGTAGTTATAAATTGCTTATGTGCTTTGTCTATATGCTTTGATGACATATTTGTTTGTTTTTATAATATGTAATAGTTGATTAAGATAATAACACAATTTTGACTGCTGTACCCCTATTTGTGACATGTTTTCCTATTATGTCTGTTTGTTTTGTTCACAAATTGTTGTCCATATATATAATGGAATCTTATGCGACTGTCATACATGTGAGAGGTTTAGCTAGCTATAAAACCAGGTTTAATCCATCATTTCTAAATAAGGAAATACCTCTGCCAATTCAGGAATATGACAGTTGTTTTCCATTCGTTTGATGTGTTTGAGCTTTTGGTTTTGCCTTGTAGTTCGGTAGTTTTGTTATTTTACCTTTTGTCAATTAAATGGAATTTAGACCGTTGATTTATGAGTTTAGCCATAGACTCTAATTCATGTCAGTACATGGACATGTCTGTTATCAAAGGGGCACAATTGGTGACCATTGGAATACATACAGCTTCTTGATTAACTTAAATTCATAAACGTGCATATATTTGGAAAGGAGATACAGCTTTAATCACCATCTCATCTTACTTCAAGTAGGTATCTCACTCTGTTACCCCTTTCATGAAAGATGAATGCTTTATATGATTTACAACAAACGAAATTGCGTTTTATTACGATTGCTACGTACGGGCGCATTATTGGCACATGGCAAATGAATTTTATTGAAGTGTAGTGTTTTGTAGACTGTTGTCAGTCTTTTCATTGTCTTTTTGCCATTGTAATGTCTTTGATTTCGATTTATGGGTTTTTACTGTCCCCTTAGTACTTCCTGCAATTTTATGTAAACCTTCTTTCAAAAAGCTGCAAAATCCTGTGGTCTATTTGTACAACATAATCAGGTGTTTTTGTTTCTCTTTCGTGACGTGAATCAGAAGAAGAAATGTCATTGTTCAAATTTGATCAATGGGATACTGAGAACAAGCAAACCGGACATTCAAAATACAATCTTTTTCCTTGATTTTGACATTACCGAATAAAAAATTTTCAACTCTTTCTTTTTTTTACATGAGCAACAAGAGCAGTGAGACATGTGGAGCAAGAATTCACCTCTGTTTTTCTTGGGGTTCGTGTTCCTCAATCTTTAATTTTCTGTGTTATGTTTTGTTATTGTTTGTCGTTATTGTTTTACCAGGGTGCTTTTTTAACATTTGGGTTCTTGATTTGACTTGGTGTCTCCTTCTTCATATTGTTTCTTTTTAAAATAATTATGTAATGGCAGGATAAATCGTCTTGTAATCATAGAAAAATTATATAATAAACGTTACTCTTTCTAAAGCAAAATGTGTTTTGTTGTTTATAACGAGTCATCCGAAAAACGTATGTCAATTATATTTTAGGGGTATTACTTATCAAAAGACATGTCTATTATTAAAGACTAAAAAGAGTTCAACTTTTTTAATGACGGTAACCATCTGCTAAAAAGTGTTCACTCATAATTACCAAATGTGCATGTAAATCAACAACACCCCTCTTGTATTCAAATACTTGAACCATCCCTGCATTGTTCTTAATTATATTCAATATGGTTGTATGCTATATCCTCGTAATACTTTGAATTTTCGCTATGACTTAGACGGAAAAAGAATCACGAATGGCAGTTGTGGGTATAATTATGAAATTAACATTTTGTTTACATTCAAAGTAATGATACTAAAACTAGTGAAAATAAATTGGTAAAATAAACATTTCCGCGTTATTCATTTTATAACATTTGAATACCACAATGAGTGTTTTGGTTTTCATTTAATTTATAAAAGAATAAGGAGAATAACTTATCGGGTTTACAGTAACGTCTGAGTGGACTTATTTTCAGATTACAAGTAATTATTTTCATAACGATATACGTTCACTGTGTATATGTAAATGCTCTTTTGTTCCGACGTTGGAAAGTTCCGGGCGGAAAGAACTAACTAGCCGAAAAGTTCCGGAGGAACTTATTAACTAGTTACTTTGTTCTTCCTCTGGTTTAAAAGTTCCACCGGAACAAAGTGACTAGTTGAAAAGTTCCAACGGAACATATCAACCAATTAGAAAGTTCCTTTTTGCCAAATTAGTCAAAACCGGAACTAACAAACTAGCCCAAAAGTTCCAACGGAACTTATCAACCAGTCACAAAGTTCCATTTGGAGAAGTGATGCAAAGTATTTGAACATTTCAAAGGGAAACCAAGATACTGATTACAAAAGTCAAAAGGAACTTATCAACTAGCCACAAAGTTCCTCTTTGGCAAATAAGTCAAAAACGGAACTAACAAACTAGCCCAACGGAACTTATCAACCAGTCACAAAGTTCCATTTGGAGAATTGATGCAAAGTAAAAGCGCAACATATTATCTTTGAACCTTTTTAAAGAGGAACAAAAGTGTCTTATATACTGATCCTCATTCTTCCCCCTCTTCATTATTATGGTACTTAATTCGGTCAGAATGTTGCCTTCATAACGGAATAAGTTCTAATTTATTGTTATACATTAATCTGAAATTGATATTTTTAAAAGTATCCACATGAGGAGGGGAGTATTCTTCCCTCTCTTAAGGGTACTATGAATACTAAATTTGCATGATAATGCAACTTATTCCGTTTGCTACATTGTTCCGGGACTTTTCAACTAGCTACTTTTTTCCGGAACTTTTCGACTGCACTCGGAATAAAACAACTAGTTGGAAAGTTCCATCGGAACGAAATAACTAGTTGAAAAGTTCTGCCGGAATAAAGGAACTGACGGAACATAGTGGCTGTTACATATATGTCAAACATATATAACCATATCATTTTAGTATGAATATCTATCATTTTGTAGATTATTACATGAAGCGGCAGTAATCGTTGTATTTCATAGTCTTATATAAGATTATTGTATGGTATAGCTGACCGTTCTTGTTTTGAACAATAATTTGTTACGACAACAACCCCAACATTATGTAAAAAATCGATTCGTTCTATATTTGCATATGATTTCATTTTCATTAAAACCTATTCTTTCGGTTATATTTTTATTATGAGTGAGTAATGCACCAATGAACGTTGAATCACAAG